AATATTGCGATGATTCGCCGTCGATAAAATCGCGATTTTTTTATCCGATAATATTGCAATAAATCGCGACGTCGATAAAATCGCGATATATTCTCCGATTAAATCGCAATTTATGGCGATCACTACTACTCGGGAATTGCAGCAGCAAATCCAAAAATTGTTACGCATCACCGCCACTCTTTAATTTAAATATCAAACCGACCTGTGGCCTTTTATCAAGGTTAATATAAATACATCCCGTTTTATTAATGACAAACCTATTATATTTCGTTTATATTATACATATTATATTCTATCCTATTTGCTTTCCATCCATTTTATTTTATCCCATATAAACCGTTTCAAACTGATTATTCACCTTTTTTTAAAACTCCAACCTTAATTAAAGTAAGTTTTTAGCTAAATTGAAGATGATCTATTGAATGAATAAGCACTTAACAGAACTTCAGCAGTATTAATATTAATACAATTTACGAGAATAATGCAAATTAAAAAAAATTAAGTGATATTTTCATAACGAATTGACAGAATATACGAGGGGGTTGGGCCGCGGAGCGGCCAGGGGGCGGAGCCCTCTAGTTTACTTAAAATTTTTCTTCAAATTTATGTAAAAAAAGCCCCAAAAAAGGTTTCCTACTACGAATATTTCAAGAGTTTTTTTTTACGTAATTTTCAAGTGGTTTTAAAGTAAATTTTAAGAGATCTCCTAAAATTTACGAGTTTTTTTACAACTTTTCTCAACAGTCACTGGTACTAGGGACAGTCCTCCGCAAAGGATCATTAGTGAGCGCAATCCATCGCATATAGTATTCTGGACTAATCTGTTAAGTACGCAGATTTTTAGACGAATTTTCTCTCTCTCCCATCCCCCTTGATCTGTTCATTCTCTTTTCTTCACTTACCACATAATTCAGTTTCTCCTGAGCCGGTGGAATCACAATTCTTCGATAAATAATCATCATAATAATGATCATTAGTCGGGCGTCTCCCCTCCCTCTCCATCCGTTGATAGGGTTAATTTTCAAATCCAAAACTCGAATCAACGAATCAACCCGCGTAAACCCTCCCACCACAAATGTCTACATAACTTCTCTAATCAATCAACGTTCAGACAAGATGACTCAATTTTTTGTTGCGCCTTCAAATGATCCTGCAGCAATACCAACTCTCCTCAGTAAAGAAAGAAGTAGCAACTCTCGGCGCGGCTCTCGCTCAGCATTATCTGCCTCGCCTGGCCTTGCCTAGCCCTTGGTGTAGTGGCATCTACGTTTTTCATTCTCGATGTAGAATGAGAGAAAGGTAGCGTTTACACGGAACACATTGAAAGGGGTATGAACTGCAATGCCGAAAACAAGAAGCGCGACCACAAGGAAAAGAAAACTTTAGTGGTAAATGACGCACGAAAATTAGAATTATCTCTTGTGTCCGTAATTTTTAAATTTTAAGAATACGTCAGTAAATTTATCCGAATAAATTCCAACAAAAAAATTAACAACTGTGTGGTGCGGGGTGCCTGTGCACTTACCGTAACACTTGCCTGTGTGAACACGGCCTAACAAGCTGGCGGAGCGGAGGAAAGTAGTTCTGTTTCATCTCCTCCTTCGTTTCACTGCAAATTTTGACATTTCTTTCCAGTGGTTGCCGCATTCCCGACTTGATTATTCTCCATCCTCGTTATCTATAAGCTGAGTTAAAATGTCGACCCAAATACTTCCCATTAAATTTCAAGAACATTTACAGGTAAGTGATGCTTTAATCCTTCTCTGAGCTTTTCTGTTATCAGAGGTGTTTACTTTCGGCCTGCCACCCGTCAAAAGCCACGGGCCCCTCACATATGCACTGATATCATATCAATTCACTCATATTCCTTACTCTCCCGAAGATTTCAGCCTTAAATTTTTTTCCTATATGATTCAATTATGATAATCGAATCACTCATTGTCCAGACTGCAACTTGCTAACTTCAGTTGAGCCCAAGATGTATGCCCTTTGACAGCCCATTGCAGAGGGTGGATGTTGCTTCAGTTTGGCTTATTTGCCATTGTGGAGCTGCTAAATGCTCATTTTACCATGCCAAAAAACCCCCTAGATACCTTTCAGAGCTCATCAACTGACACCATTTTAATACCAACTGCTTTTCAATAAAATCTTTCTCAGCTTCTAGAGCGCCTGTCGAGAACGGGGTTGCCTCTTTTGCTAACAGTGACACTGATAATGTATTCATCGAAGAGTTACTTTTGAGACCTATTGATATTTCTTCAATTAGTATTTCCTGTTCAACATTCCCTCTAAGCCACTTACCTTGGACTACTAACTTTACTTACCTCATTCCTGATAAGGTTGCCTCTGCACAGCCGTTAATGCTACCTGCGGATATCTTATTCGCATTGTTGTATCTGCCTTATCAATTAAATGATGGAGTTTCCTCATTCCTTTTGTCAAGTGAATTGTCTGCACCAATTTTTATCAAGAGTACCGGTACCTTGGACACCTATTTTTTTCTCTACCCCTTTATCTTGGCCCATGGCCTATCATGCTTTTCTCCACTGAGGTTAGAATGTTACGCCCCTTTTCCTCAATTCTGTCCCTACTTGATGCTTCTTTGATTACACCTTTTTTGAATTCATCCTAATTAAACTTCTACTCAAATGCTTACTCTGTAATTTTTCTCTGCGATGAGCACTCTCAATGGATGATAGCTTGTCTATGAGTCATGCTATGTTTAGCTTATGTAATTTAAATTAATGCTGCCAAAGAATCTGGGCATTCGGGCATTGGTTCATTTTTGCAATGAGCAGTCCAGCACTCATCACCCATTTGTATTTGGTATTGACCATTGTGAGCATCTGATGAATATTTAAAGAGCTGACATACTTTTGACCGTGGATTCTCTTGTGTAGAGATCTGTTGCACCGCTTCTTCCCAGATTCGTCTCAAGTTCAAGTACCCTTGACACCTGCTGTTTGAAGCCCCATGGTTCCTTCTTGGCTACACTTCTTTCCTTAAAAAGTGCACGGTCAATTCAATGATTACGAAGGCTTAAGTATGTCGAATGTACCGAAAGAGCTAATTTATTTTCAACACACAAAACCACCATTGGTCGACATCTCTTATTACTCCCAAGTTTAGCAATTCCCTTGATTTGATCTTTTCTTCATCATTTCAGACTTACTGAAATCATTCGTTAAGACAGTATCATAATTTTTTTTCTTCACAATATCTAATTTAATTGTTCCACGCTTGAAGTAATATGAAGTGCATTGGAAACCAGTGCATTCATTAGACAAAGTGAAACAAGTATATTTATCAGTTGTCAAATTTGAGGTTCGAGAGGAGGATGCCGTTTAGAGTATAAAGATTTAAGGGTACAAAGTACAAAGGTTCTCTAATCATCTTTTACAGACGAGCATTTTTTTGGCAAGTCAACTTTTTTAGTTTTTTCTTTTTTCCCTTTTTTTTTTTTTTTTTTTTTTTTTTTTTTTTTGTTTGTTTGGAGGGAAAGATTTTAGAACATGCAAAATGTGGGTGTGAAGCCTCTTAAAACATCTTTGCTTTTTTTGCCTCATTTATTCACGTTTGGTTGTAAACCACGACTTAATCCACCATGGCCTTTTTAGTCAACAGAGCTCAGGTGTTCTGAAAAAAGAGACCTTCGAAGAAAAAAACTTAGCCATGAATACTGGAAAGATCCATTTTTTTCAATGACAAAGGATCCTCACAGCTTCAGTATTTTCAGCTTTTGTTTATTCATTTAAGTAATTTTCCATTTTTTTTATAAACCAGGGCAATATTGGCCGAAGTGGCCCTAGCTCCTCAGTTAGTCAGTTACTAGGCAAGCGAAAACCAAACCATCGGGTAGACTACAAGCAACCATGAATCTCACCAAAAAAAACCGAAAACCTGCCTTAGGCTATTCCCAACCTTGTGTGAGCCCTTTATCCCTCAATAAAATTTATAATCAATTTTCAACCAACTCTCATACCTTGCATACAGAAACAAAGTTTTTTACCATATACCTAAGTCAATTTTTCAAATTGACCTTGTTGCATTACAAGTATTATTTTTCATATTAATACTAGGAATTCAATCTTATTTTGCTTCTCTGGCCTGGGTCTTGTTTTCATGTCATTTTAATATAAATATGATGTAAGCAGCTGAGAATACTTTTTTTCTAATTTTTCTCCCCTTCCCCCCCCCCTTTCCTTACCTCTTTCAACTTTTTCTTCCATTTTGAATTCTTCTTTTCTCTAGATTTGATAGAATCAGAAAATGGTGCTCATTTTAAACAAAATGGGCAAAAAAGTTGAATAAGCAGTGAGGAAAGTAGTAGGGAAAGTCTGTTGGAACTGTAAAAACCTTGGTTGTACTCGCTTGTAAAATGTCAATAAGTATACCTATAGTTGTAAAGCAAGGGACTTCAAAGCAAGTGAGTGTTTTGTGATGAAGTTCGACCAAATCTTTCCCAAGTAGCCTCTGATGTCTAAAAAGAAAAATCAAATATCTGTTTGTTTCTACCACATCAAAAGATATGTTTATGCATTTATTTTTGCCTCTCTGTTCTGAGTCCCAGGGTCCATTTTTCTGCTGTTTTTTCATCTTTTTTCATTAAAACTGTCTCTTTTATTGCAGCTCACAAATGTCGGTATTAATCAAGCTAGTGTCAGTTTTAACACCCTTACAATGGAGTCGGACAAGTTTATTTGTGTTCGAGAAAAAGCTGGAGAACAAGCACAAGTCGTAATCATTGATCTTGCAGATCCCACCAATCCGATCAGACGGCCCATCTCAGCGGATTCAGCCATCATGAATCCTGCTAGCAAAGTTATCGCACTCAAAGGCAAAGCAGGATCTGAAGGAACGGCTGCAGGTGTGTGCTGTTATTATACTAAGATCCACTTAGAAGTATTGTGCACCCTGTCATTAATTACCTCTCAAAAGCCTCTCATGAAGAAATTAATCTTGCGTACTTAATCACCTACTTGGGTACAAGTAGTTCTCATTTTTTGTTTTTTCCTTCTTTATAGTCCATGCCACATAAGTTTACTCTCTTTTAGACTGGGATAGATGATCGTCTGATGTTATTTTAGCATGAAACGTGAATGCAAGAATCAATATGGCAGACCCTCTGTCGCAGTCTAAAAAAGCGTAAATTTATTTGGTGTGGACTCAACCAACAAAATTATATCTCTGAAAATCTAATCAGTCTCTTGCAGGCTTGTGAGTTATACTTGCATTAATAGTTGCTGGGAATCATCACAGATGAAAATCTGTTAAAATTAATAATCATTTTATAGTAAACAATACTCACGGCAAAGTATTGTTATTTTACCAGCAATGACGATTGACGCTCATCAGACTTTTCTTAAGACCCTCTGCTAACATTAAACTGCATGACTGATGTAAGGAGAAATCTTAATGATTCCAATTGAATATTGTAGTCATGAAACGATCTTCAGAATTTTCTGTCATGATCAGTGAATTACAAAATGTGTGTGCTTTAGTTTTTATACGCCTTTAGCAGACCTCTTTGTGACATTTATAAACCATACGGAGCTATGCAACCAGTGCTCCAAACATCAGCCTCTTTCAGGTGGATGGTGGGCAACTTTCAGTTTACAATGAACTTTCCTTCAATTGCATGAATGAAGAAAGTTCCAGGACCTTTGCCCCTCTCCCCCTCAAAAAAAAATTGAGAATTCCTTTTACTCTTAAATTCTAAAAATTATCTAAAACAACCAGTTACTTATCTCAATGATTTTAAGATTTTGACTAACCCTGTTAGCCCATGTATTTTCGTCATCTGCTTTTTAATTTAAGTTTGTTTAATCCTCCTTTTTACATTTCCAGCTCAAAAAACACTTCAGATTTTCAACATAGAGATGAAAAGCAAAATGAAGGCTCATACAATGACGGATGATGTAGTGTTTTGGAAGTGGATCTCTCCCAATACTTTAGCTCTTGTAACTGAAACATCGGTTTTTCACTGGAGCATGGAAGGTATTCTAGCTTCATATCGTGTTTTTTGCTCTGGGCGGAAATGGAAGTAGTTCTGCGGTTCTCTTGAGCTCAGTATCTCTCTCTCTCTCTCTCTCCCCCCCTCTCTCTCTCTATCTTCTGCGTGTTAATGTGTTACCCTTTATAATTACCTCAGGTAGAGAAAAAATCGAACCTACATCCCTCCACCAACCTCCTCAGTGTAGTCAAGGCATTATAGTGGCTGTGGAAAGACATAGGGAAAAACAGTGCCTTACATTTTTTATTGCTCCTTTTATAAGAAGCGCTAAACCGTGTTTTACAAAGTAGATTTTCATACCATTAGAAGACCTAAAAGTGTTAAATGAATTCTCTTTTATAGATAAGTGTGTACTAATTTCCAGCCTCATGTAATCAATATTCCTCTGAAGAACACCTTTTAAGTATCAATCTTTTTTGCTGTATGTGGCTTTCAACTATGACATAAATGAAAAAATCTTCAACTAGAGAACAAAAAAAGGCAATAAGAAAATATAAATTAAATGGTAACCACTTTAAATTTTGAGCAAGGCAAAAATTTACTCATGTTTTGGTAGAGGAGTCAAATTCTCAAAGGTGATTATGAATTCCAAATTTTAGTTTCCCTGAATTCATCCCATAATTCTTTTTTTTTCCACCCAGGTGATTCAACTCCAGTGAAAATGTTCGATCGACATTCCACCCTGAATGGCTGTCAAATAATTAATTACAGAACTGATCACAAACAAAACTGGCTTCTGCTCATAGGAATATCTGCCCAGGTATACTGTCTTTATTTTTAGTTGTTAGGTCTCCCATTTTTCAGTCATCACTCCTTTATAACATTGATACTTCTATGTAGACTTCACTTGTACTTTTTTGTATGTAGATAAAAATGAGTGACCCAGCAAGTGGATGAGACTCTCACTAGTTAATATGTCAACATTCTGGGTCTGTTTGGGTTGTTTTGCCTTAAGCTCTTCAGGTATGATCAGCTAATTTCCTCCAATAATCTTATCTGCATTTATCAAGCAGATTTCAAGCATTTCAAATGATTAATCCTGGGATCTTGAGAGATGAATGATCCTGATCAAAACAGCCGAAGGTATGATACAAAAAGTCTCTTTGGCTACCAGAATATTGTAGATTGCATCTAAAAATTAAGCTTTCCAACCGAAGTGGCCCTTCAAATTTTAAGGGAAAGGCTAAACACTGGTACTTTCTGTCCCTTCCGTCCTAAAACTGATAAATAGAATGAATTTCGTTCAACTCAGGATTCTGTCTTTTTTCCTCTCATTTTGTTCATGATTTATCTATGAATTCTCAAAAAATTCACCTGTCTTTACAGCAAAATAGAGGAGTTGTTGGGGCTATGCAGTTATACTCGGTGGAAAGGAAATGTTCACAGCCAATTGAAGGGCATGCTGCCTCTTTTGCCCAATTCAAAATGGAAGGTAATCTGGAACTATCAACCTTGTTCTGTTTTGCAGTTCGTTCAACTCAAGGAGGCAAGGTAAGATCAGCTTTTCATTTCACAATTACAAATATTCTTGGTTTCTTTTACGAAGCTTTGTCTCAAAGCTTTGCTCTCTCAGGAACTCTTTCATTCAAGAGCAAAAGTAATTCTATCGATGCTATTATTGGTGACACCACTGTAGGAATTTTCCACTTCATAGAATTCGATTGAAACAATAATGATGAGGTAACCTCTTTGAATGTAACCAATAAGAATATGATGTAATACCGATAGATCTCACAACTCTTGTTCTGCTAGTTGCTGGGTGCCTGTAAAATGTGGAGTCAAAACAGATATATTTCTTCCCAGAGTTTTTTTATCTTTTTTTCTTGTGGCAACAATAGATAAAATTTCCAAGCGGTGTGTGCAATTCAAACTGATCCTGTGAATATGACAATTTATATTGACATGAATTTGATAGCATTTAAGATGAGTCAAAACAGGAAGTATACAAGCATCGAGATGTCAAACAATGTTGTTAATGTGCTGGTATCATTTTAAATTTTTGCCAAAGAAAAATCAATTCCTGAAGACACAGCTCAGCTGTTTCTTTCCGAAGAATCTATTTTGTGAACTCTGAAATAAAGCTGAAAGTATGCAAACGCAAAATATTGCATCCAATTAATTGAATCAAAAAGTTCATTTGTGCATTTTGTTTACTTTCAGTTTTATCCTAGAGTTTTAAGAATTACGATTCCTTTGAAGAGATTCCTTTGATTTAGATTCAAAAGGAACACCTGGAATATGCCTCTAGACTTAATTGATCCGTTTTTTGATAAAATTTTAAGCCGAACTAGTATACCAGCAAAATTTATTTGATATCTCAATGCTTTATACTCCTACTATAATTCATCTTCTAAACATTGAGCCATTGATGCGCTTGTATGACAAATTCTACTCTATCTCCAGGCTGAACATGTTTCAACTTGGACAGAGCTTAGTTTTAAATTCTGCTAACTTTAGATTTTTAGGGCATACTTTTTGTAACTATCATGGAAATGGAATGTAGATTATCATCAAAATTTATTCACAACAATTGTACTCTTCATTCGCCAGGAAAGATTGGTACTTCATCCCATCTGTAATCAAAACTTGCAAATATTTCAACCTTTATCGCAATTTCAAGCTTTTGAAGGAAAGACATTTTATGAGTATATTTCGTTGGGCTATTATAATGAATTTCCATTTTTTTTTTTACTTGTTGAATAAAAAGTGAAATTTCTTCATTGTTCAATGGGATGCTAAATGTAAATTTGTCTTTGTTTCAATCTGATTGCAGCTGCACATAATAGAAGTAGGACAGACCCCTAATGGAAATAAACCGTACAAGAAAAAAGCAGTGGATGTTTTTTTCCCTCCAGAAGCTCAAAGTGATTTTCCTGTCGCAATGCAGGTGAGCTACTTCAGTAATTATTTCCGCAACAAGTGGCACATTTTGAATCACTTGTTGCTTCAGAAAATTCTACAGCACTTATTGCGCTTCATTTTGTGTGTCTTACTCTTATTTGCCTCAAACTCAATCCGATTCATTTTTCATCTTAACTTTCGGCGTGGCGGCGGAAGCCTGAGAAAAGGTAACAAGAACTAAAAGATTTGAGAAAGGGACATAGACTAAGAGGAAAACTGCATAGTGTGGGAGGGGTAAGGGTTACGTACAATTGTGTCTCCACTCAACTTAGGCAATGCTTGGCTCTTGATCTTGATGCCAACAGCACATTGTTGGTCTCACGTGCCATGATGTGTATTCGAAAAGCTAATTTGGCTCCTAAGAAATTGTAGGTCACTCCTTAAAATAGGCTTTCCGGCCGAGGTGGCCTCTGAACTTTCAGGAGGAAGGCAGATCACTGCCTTTTTTAACCATTTCTATTGATTAATCACTAAAAGACGGATTTTTAATTTATGATCTATTAAAAGTATGACAATAGTAAACAGTTAATGTGGATATTAATAAAGAGGGCAAAGGAATTGAAATCATGGCCAAGGAAAGAAAAAAAGGGCTTATCGTGGTTCAGAGAGTGTGCGTGTAAAATCTTTTTATGATTTACGTCCAGTGACTTCGCAATGAAGATTTTTTTCCTGGTTGGTTTTGACACCACCTTTATGTTCATTTGCTCATTTTTTCTCACAGGTCAGCGCAAAATATGACGTTATCTACTTGATCACCAAATATGGCTACATTCATTTGTATGATATTGAAACAGCTACATGCATCTACATGAACCGAATATCTGGTGATACTATTTTTGTAACAGCACCGCATGAAGCATCTGGAGGCATCATTGGAGTCAATCGCAAAGGACAGGTAATTTCCACTCTTTAGCCTTCTTTTGTTTTCGCTAGACTTGTGAGATTGTAATTACATAGAAAACCTCAAAAACATTTAAGAAAAACTTGTACTGCCCACAAAGAACATCCTCTAGAGCCTGTCAAATTTATTAAAATCGTGGGAAAGAGCTGGGAATTTCTTAACCATTTTTTAAAATTAATCTAATGTCAACCTAGTGCTAACCGGGCTGATGAAACTTTTGAACTTTTACATAAGCATAGTAGCAAAATTTTTCTTTAAGCTCTTTTTCGACATCAGAATTGTGTAAATGTAGGGCTTCTCCAGCTATCTGCTAATAATTTTTTTAACTGTTTCTTGTATGTATGAGCTGTCTATGATATTGTCATTATCTCTCGGACGTCATATACATGAAGATATGTGTGTTTAAATCATGTTCAATGGTAGCTAGACCCAACTTTTGTCCAAGTCAGATGGCAAATTCAGTGAAGAATGATATCAGTCAGGAGGAAAATCTTGCAAATTTCACGAATTTTGGTTCAATAATGTGTTTTTACCCCACCTTCCTTACCCATCTGTTTCAAATGATTCATCGGCTTCTTCTAAGTTGTGCTTTCAATTGTGTGGTGGCTGGCAGTCTACTGACTGCTGAATCCTTCATCTTTTTGTTCTCATTCTAGTAGTGCTTCAGATTGGACTGGTCCCATATTCTGTTTCTTCCAAATATAAGTTAAATTGAGTTGAAGTGACCCTTCATGCAGGGGCTTAATATTTTATTTCAATTAATACATTAAAAAATTCCTTCTCTTCTAGCGTTGTAAGATTTTTTTTTGGTTATCCTACAATTAATTTTAATCTTTTACTTACTAACCTACATGTTTCTCCTCGTGACATTAAGCATCTATTTCTTCAGTCCCTTAAATGTTCATGGGGTTTTTTCCTCTAACTGGAAGGGACAACGAGTTCAATGGCTATTTATTTTTCAGGTGCTGTCTGTCAGTGTTGAAGAAGACAATATCATTCCGTACATCAACAACGTCCTCGGAAACCCAGATCTTGCCTTACGAATGGCAGTGAGAAACAACTTAGCCGGTGCAGAAGAATTATTCATCAAAAAGTTCAACGTTCTATTTCACAATGGATCTTACACAGAAGCAGCTAAGGTAAGTTTAAAGTGTTTTTCTGACTAAAATTTAGCAAGACAGCCTTGAGGAAGATAAAATTGTGGCCAGGTAACTAAAGTGTAATGGGCTAATGGGACTTTAGCCACAAGGTCTCGAATTATCAGCTGATCAGAAGTTAGAAACATTGAGAACATTGTATAATCTGAGTATCTCAGAAATAGGGCGATGATGAAACGGCTCTTAAATGTCTACAAGTCAGAATATTGGGAAATTGAGTGAACTTAGAAACATTTAATAAATTTCTGAAATTAGATGGAGTTCTGAAATGGATATCGCAGGTCCCATTGAAGGCATAGCCCAGATTAACCATTAACTTGGAAGTTTCATTCTGTAATCTGGTCAAACTTTTGCCTCTTCCAACAAGTTCAGCACAGATATTGATAGATTCAAATCCGAAGGTCTGTAAAATCATCAAAAACTGTATCAGGATCAACCAAATAATCTCCTAAATTCCAGATAAACACAAGTGGCTGTTAGTGTTTTATTATTCCCTAATACCTACCTTCAAAAAAATAAGAAGAAACAAAATTGAACACAATTGTATACACCTCAAGTGGTTATAAATTCACTGATAGCTAGTGAACTAATCATGAAGTCATCATTGGTATCATTTTTAATGTTCAAGTTACGTTTCAAAGTCTGTTTGACCCCATCGTATAATCATCCCATATCATCCTCATCCTGTAAATTCTCACTGTTTATCCTCTCTTTTGTGGGAGATTTATGGAACTGATGTTGAATGAACTGGTCAACTATGTTTTGACACCCATTCTAAATTTAAAACTAAATTATATTTTGTTTTTTGGTAATTAAGTCTGTTCCGTAGCTTTTTGTTGGTTTGATTCAAACGGTCTTGTGTTTTTTATTCAAATGAGTCGGTTATAATGTTGTTTTCTCATTTAGGTTGCTGCCAGTGCTCCTAAAGGCATCCTTCGGATTCCCCAAATTATTCAAAGGTTTCAACAAGTACCAACGCCCTCAGGCCAAACTTCTCCTTTATTGCAGTATTTTGGAATTCTTCTAGATCAGGTATTAAGAATGTTTGAAAAATATCTGCCCTACCGGTGATACTTGCTTTAATTTTAATTTTTTTTAACTGAATCACCTGACTGTGAATACTGCTTTCAATTTTAGACTTTCAGGAGCAGTCAGCAAGAATTATGAGTAAACGGTTTTAAAAAATTTCCTAATAGATCATAATTGGATTCTAAATAGATTGTATTCAAATTCACCCTCAACAAGAAAATGTCTTTGGTGCTCCTCATAGATGTTTATTTTTGTCATTAAGGGGAATTTTTGCCGTAAATTTTTCATTTCCCACCATCAATAAATAACTGTTTATAACTATCATTAACTTAAATTTTTGAGGAAGTATTTTAGATAGCTGCATGCAATTAAAAATGTGAGATGCACGCAATTAAAAAGGTGAGAATATCAGAATCAGCAGAGCATTTTAGAAGGACATTGACTCGACAGTCAATCAGAAGTACAAGAAAGAAATATATTTTTGGTGAACTTTTTTACTCCATATCAACGTTTTTAGATCAAAATAACTTAAAACATTGGATTTTTGAGCCCTAACAAATTTTTCCTTTCATGTTGTTTTGCAGGGTAAATTGAACAAACACGAATCCTTGGAGCTGTGCCGTCCAGTTTTGGCTCAAGGTCGGAAGCAGCTGTTAGAAAAATGGCTGAAAGAAGATAAATTAGAATGTTCAGAAGAATTGGGAGATCTTGTCAAACAAGCTGATCCATCTCTAGCCTTATCTGTGTATTTACGTGCAAACATTCCCAGCAAGGTACAATTAAAGTTTATCAAACATTAATTTTCATGAATACTCATAGAAGCAGTAGTGGAACAAGAAAAATCTGTGAAATATTGAGACCAAAAAATGGTTTTTCAACAGTAAAATTTCATATAATTTACAAAATATGACAATGGGTTTTATATCACTCAAATTATTTTTTATTTATTTGTTTTCTTGGAGGCACAAAAAATATTTTTTTGTTGCTACTGGTCTCAGTTTTCATTCATATTTTTTTATCATATTAAAATTTGTCGTTTCTTAGACACAAACGCATAACTGCATTTCAATGCTGCAGAATTTCCATTCCCAATTCCTAAGTTCTCTAGAAAACTTCTGAGCATTTCTGATGGTGAAATCCACCGCTTTTTTCTCGGATTAAATTAAAAAATAAGGGGAATTTTGGACGGATATTAGATAGTCATGTTTTTGAAGAAAAGTGAATTGTTGCAGTCAATTTTACAATCCTGAAGTAGAGATACATTCCCACCTTTGGAGAAAGTCGAATTCAGCTACTGCCCAAGTCAAAAAAGCTGCCCAAGATCCTCTCATTTTTCCTTTAAGGACTCCTGAAATATTTTTAAAAGGAAATTTTTCCAAGGCAAAATTGGGAAAAATATTTTGCTTGCTTTAAAGGTAAAATCTTTCAATATAATTAATTTAAACAGAGATGAAAACATTGGAAGGCTTTGTAGTTGGTGGTTACATACATATGTAAAACTCACAATATAATAATGAGCTAATTTATGCTGATAAACTAGGTGATCCAATGTTTTGCTGAAACTGGACAATACCAAAAAATAGTCCTCTATGCCAAAAAAGTTGGTTACACGCCGGACTATGTCTTCCTTATGCGGAATGTTATGAGGACGAATCCGGAACATGCCGTTGCCTTTGCTCAGATGCTGGTACAAGATGATGAGCCACTAGCTGACATCAATCAGGTTTGTCACCACATTGTTTTGTTGAATTGCACAGTATTGGGTCAGAAAATCCCTGAGAAATAAGCGATAGCTGAAACATTCAAATGGTTTTTACAGGGGATACAATTTTTCAGCCTTGTCGAAAGCTGTTAGAGTTTGGATACAGCTCATAGCTACTCTATTCTACTTACAGAAATAACCTTTTCAAAGAAACAGAAGGGGGGAAAAAAATGTATTGAAATTAGTTAAGACTCCAAAACTGAAGTCTCAGCAACGTGTTAGCAAATTGGTATCTATCACCAGGTTAAAAATCCTCATAGGGAGAGTATTGCCACAAGGGGGCCGTCTTTGATTGGCCTCTCCATCTTTGGCTATCATGGGGACTTAAGACATAAATAGCAGGTGTTGCAAGCAGATAAAGATGAAAAATTACGTGTTTCCATGTTGCACCTTGATCTTTGCTCAAATTAATTATTACAAAATCTTTACATAGTTTTAAAGCTAATTGTGTGCCATTGTCAACAAAACTCATCTTCGATATGGTAATGTTGGCAACAAGTGCATTAAGTGATAACCGTCAATAGTTGGCAATTCCCTCCCCCTCCACCTTCATCAAAAAGCCAAAACGTGTTAAGTTTCTTGGTAGGAGTGAAATCAAGAGTTGTAACTCAAAATAATTTTTCTGTATTTTCTCTTTTTAGATTGTAGATGTATTCATGGAACAAAATCAAGTTCAGAATTGCACCGCATTTTTATTGGATGCCTTGAAAAATAACAGACCCTCTGAAGGGCCTCTGCAAACTCGATTACTTGAGATGAATCTGGTCTCAGCTCCTCAGGTGTGTAATGGCATATTATTTTCTCCTCCTTTTTTCTTCAAATCAATAATTACTTGGTATGTCAGTATTGTTCTTTTCCATGGAATACAATTAATAGTGATAAACAATCTGACAGGGTGTCTACCAGTCTGTAAAGTCCGGAAAAAGTACGCATTTTTTAAAGTCTGTCCATAAGTACCTTAAAAGTACGTAAATCTCGCGGAAGGTCGTTAATTTTTTGCATTTTGCGCTGCGCGTTCAGTTCGATCGCCTGATAGTTATGCAACCCTCTGTGCATTGTCCGTCAGGCGTACTAGTGCAATGTCAGCCCGTAAGAGTGCGGTTGTTGTAGAGGAGCAAGGCATTTCCCTAGATTTGACGGAAACAGCCGAAAAGGCCATGGGAATAGCCGAAGTAAAGTGCGCGGCAGTGCCAAAATCGAAGAATTGCAATTCATATCGAAAAGGTACTTAAAAAGTACAAAATTTTTCCTCAAGGTGAGGTACTTAAATTTTTCCCTAAGTACCGAAAAAGTACTGAGAAAGAACTTATTTTATTTTTGTGGACCTCAGCAGACACCCTGATCTAATTGATTCAGATCCCAGCTCAATTTGAATCTCAGGTGTGCACAAAATCTGCAAATCAACAGAAATAATCGAATGCTGAAGCACTGTCTTGAAAATCTCATGAAAGATGTTCAAATTTTTTTTTCTAGACCTCTGAAAAAACAATATTTCACAATATGCTATCCTATACTGTAATTAAAATTGATTGTTTTTTCAGGTGGCCGATGCAATTTTAGGTAATCAAATGTTCACCCACTATGACAGAGCCCACATCGCACAGCTCTGCGAGAAGGCCGGCTTGTTGCAGCGTGCTCTTGAACACTACACAGGTATTCAATTTTTTAACCCTTACTTCTTCTTTTAGGCGAAAGAATAGACTCTATGAAATGCATCACAAACATATACAAAGCTACTGTACAAACCAGGAATTACTTTAAAAAATGGGTGTTCCTAACCAGACTCTAAGGAAGGGAAATGCTCTTAAACTGCAAAAATCATATGTTTTCAGTAGGGAAAAAAAAGGAAAATTCTATAAGAGAACCAAAAAAAAGTATTTCTCATTGGCTTGTTGGATGTGATGTTGTGTGTTCTAACTATTCATAGTTTCAACCATCATGGATGTCATGCAAACGTAGAAATAATATAGTTGGTATACAATTTGTACTAAAGTGTCAAGTAAAATCTTGCCAAAATTTGTTTGTCCTGTAATTTTTAAATTTCAATTTATAGTTATAAACATGCTGCAAGCTATTCGAAGTGCAGATATCAAGTCACTAACCATGAAAACTGCATTGTGGTACCACAACACAATTTCAGATGGTGGAATGCTTTTGAACGCTAACAAGAGTGGTAAAAATATAAAGTTGGCGTCAGGGTTGCCATAGTCTCGGAATACTAAGAAATGTCCGGGAATTTCAAAAAGTCAGGAAAAACCTTGAAGTGTCAGAGACTAATTATTAAGTCACCTTCATTTGCTTTCTAGAATGGGTCGAACGTTTTGAACAACAAATTATGCCTGAATTCTAGTTCAAATTATATATTTAACCATCCGGCACACCTTCAATCGTCAGGGAATATTACTAAAATGAGTTAGGGGATTTCATTTTCTCAATTCTGTAACAATTTTGCAGTGTCTCTTGATGTCATGAAATTCGAAAGCTTGATATTTTTCTATTCGGACTGAGGTTGAATTTTTTGAAACTTCAAAAGTTGGTTTCTGAGATAAAATTTGATGAGATGATAAGCAAACAATCTAACCTCATCATATAAGCATTTTCAAAAACTGATTAAAATTATAAGTAAGCATGTAAAAAGAGGACATTAAACAATGTGTAATGCAGTTAAGCTGACTGCGGTGTCCAATCAATCATGATAACTTCATCATTGTTCTTTTTCCTCCTCTTTTTCTCCATATATAGATTTTAAATTTTCTAAAATTTTAAAATCCATCGCATCTTCTGATCTTTCCCATCTCTCTTCTATCAGGAAAAAACATCAATCTATAACCTGAAATAATCGTGAATTACATCAAATGGAGATAACTTACCTGTATCAAGTTTGAACTTTTGTTTCTTTCACACTGTTAACATCAAACCAGCTGCGCTTGAAAAATTGGGAATTTTTTTTGAATAACTCCATCCATCATTTTATTATAAATTATCTACAAATCTTTTTCAGATCTTTACGACATCAAACGTGCTGTAGTCCACACTCACTTGCTGAACCCAGAATGGTTGGTGAATTATTTTGGAACCCTATCTGTGGAAGACTCACTGGAATGTTTGAAAGCTATGTTCCCAAATATTAGACAGAATTTGCAAATTTGTGTCCAGGTAAGGTCAAATCAAATTTATGGTCACCGAATTTAATTGTTACCATCTAATGCTGCTTAAAATCTCCTTGTAAATTTTTCTGTTCGCAATGTATATCATCGTGAAAATGATGATAGTTGTAGGTTCTAGCCTACTGATAGGTATTTACATTTACAGGAATTATTTTTGTGAATAGTCACCCTGTTGATCTCAATTGTAAATATGTCCCTTCTCTGACATACCCATTAGTGACAATGATATTGTTCATGCTATTGTAATCGATATAAGTATTGGTTTCTGCTCCAATATATCAAAGCTTGCACATGAAGAAATTGCGTTTAAAGCAATTTTGAATACAATGGAAGTATACCAGTTTCTACTGAATTCCCAGGACAGGAAGCGGAAAAAGAGCTGAAAGAGGAAGAAGAAGAAAAGAAAGTAGAGAAAAGAATGGAAGATAAGGAATGAGGAGAAAAGAAGGAGAGGATTAAGAAAATTAGGAAGAGTATAAAAGTGTGGAAGAAAACTATAAAGAAGCAGAGAAAAAAGTAGAAAGATGAACAAACTAAGAAGGAAGGGGAAGAATAAATTAAAAAGAGAGAAGAGTAAGAAGAAAAAGAGGCTCTTAATTGCATCGGAACTTTAAATGCCTACACTTTGTTTTTTAAACAGGCTTAAAATACCAGTTCCCAATTGCAAAATATAGTCCTATTCATGATAGAAATTTCATCAACGTAAGACAAAACCATTGAAGCCATCAACTCATTTTAGTGATATCTAAGTAATCTAGCTCAGTTCTGATTTTTCACAGTTTATACTTTTTGATGCAACCATGCCCTTTATTAAAAATGAGATTTGTTAGGAAGAATACTGTTTTCAATTCTGTCCAATTTCTAAATATTTTCTATATTGATTTTCAGATTGCAACCAAATACCATGAACAACTTACGACCAAAGCATTAATTGAACTTTTTGAATCAAACAAGTGTTACGAGGGTTTATTCTATTTCCTAGGATCAATTGTTAACTTCAGTCAAGACCCAGATGTCCACTTTAAGTACATTCAGGTAATAATTATCGTTCTTGTCAAGAAATGATTTATTCTCCTCTATTCATGTGTCAAATATGTTATAAAATTTCATGAATTAACTCATTACCTCTCAGCTTCTGATATTCATTTATTTTGACATATTTGGTGTCAATAAAAAATTTGGTAAAGTTATACAGTGAAACATTTTAATGGAACTTAGAAGAAAATTGGAGGCTACGAATCTAATCGTTATTATTTTTAATGAGTGTAAAGTATGGAAGAGCTCTTTTAATTAATCTCGTGATCAAATTCCAAAATTTGAAGCAATTGTGTTACAATCAATATTTTTCTGTTTCTTTTTCAGGCTGCATGTAAAACCAGTCAGATCAAAGAAGTTGAAAGAATTTGTCGTGAATCCAACTGTTATAATCCCGAACGTGTCAAGAACTTCTTGAAAGAGGCAAAATTAACAGATCAGCTCCCTCTCATAATTGTATGCGATCGTTTTGACTTCGTCCATGATCTTGTGCTCTATTTGTACAGAAATAATCTCCAGAAATACATTGAAATCTATGTACAGAAAGTGAACCCATCTCGTCTACCTGTTGTCATTGGAGGACTTCTTGATGTTGATTGTTCAGAAGATATAATAAAAAATCTGATATTAGTCGTACGAGGACAGTTCTCAACGGATGAGCTTGTAGAGGAAGTTGAAAAGAGAAACAGGCTGAAGCTGCTGTTGCCGTGGTTAGAATCTCGAGTGCACGAAGGTTGCATTGAGCCTGCCACTCATAACGCCCTTGCCAAAATTTACATTGACAGCAACAACAATCCTGAGCGTTTCCTGAAAGAGAATCAATATTATGACAGTCGAGTCGTAGGAAAATATTGCGAAAAACGTGACCCTCATCTTGCCTGTGTCGCCTACGAAAGAGGTCAGTGTGATTTAGAATTGATCAATGTCTGTAATGAGAATTCTCTCTTCAAATCGCAAGCCAGATATCTGGTCCGTCGACGAGACCCCGAACTCTGGATTGAAGTCTTGAGTGAAAACAACCCTTACAAACGCCAGCTGATCGATCAAGTTGTGCAAACAGCTTTATCTGAAACTCAAGATCCTGAAGACATCTCTGTGACTGTGAAAGCCTTCATGACTGCAGATCTACCCAATGAGCTAATTGAATTGCTTGAAAAAATCGTTTTGGACAACTCTGTGTTCAGTGACCATAGAAATTTGCAAAACTTGTTGATTCTAACTGCAATCAAAGCTGATAGGACTCGAGTCATGGAGTACATTAATCGCTTGGACAATTACGATGCCCCAGACATTGCCAACATAGCTATCAACAATGAATTATACGAAGAAGCCTTCGCCATTTTCAAGAAATTTGATGTAAATACATCAGCAATCCAAGTTTTAATAGACAATGTCAAAAATCTTGACCGTGCTTACGAATTTGCGGAAAGGTGCAATGAACCAGGAGTATGGAGCCAGCTAGCAAAAGCTCAGTTGCAACAAGGACTTGTCAAAGAGGCAATTGATTCCTTCATAAAAGCTGATGATCCGTCAGCATATGTAGATGTTGTGGAAACAGCTCGTAGAATGGAAAGCTGGGAAGATCTTGTTCGTTACTTGCAGATGGCTCGCAAGAAAGCCAGAGAATCTTACATAGAAAGTGAACTGATCTATGCGTACGCTCGCACTAACAGACTAGCAGACTTGGAGGAGTTTATCTCAGGTCCGAATCATGCTGACATCCAAAAAATTGGAGATAGATGTTTTGACGATGGCATGTACGAACCAGCAAAGCTTCTTTACAACAATGTGTCAAATTTTGCCCGTTTGGCCATTACTTTGGTGCATTTGAAAGAATTCCAAGGTGCAGTGGAAAGTGCTCGCAAAGCCAACAGCACGAGGACATGGAAAGAAGTTTGCTTTGCATGTGTTGACAGTGAAGAATTCAGACTTGCGCAAATGTGTGGTCTTCACATCGTTGTCCACGCTGATGAGCTAGAAGATTTAATAAATTATTACCAGGATAGAGGCTATTTTGAGGAACTGATCAATCTATTAGAAGCTGCTTTAGGCTTAGAACGTGCTCATATGGGTATGTTCACAGAGTTAGCCATCTTGTACTCAAGATACAAGCCACAGAAAATGCGAGAGCATCTTGAACTTTTTTGGTCCCGTGTTAACATTCCAAAAGTTTTGCGTGCTGCAGAACAAGCTCATTTGTGGGCTGAACTTGTCTTTCTGTACGATAAATACGAAGAGTATGATAATGCCGTCATTGCCATGATGAATCACCCAACAGAAGCTTGGCGAGAAGGTCACTTCAAAGACATCATCACCAAAGTTGCCAATATTGAATTATACTATAAAGCCATCCAATTTTATCTGGATTATAAGCCACTCTTGTTAAACGATGTTTTGTTGGTTCTCACGCCCAGAATGGATCACACAAGAGCCGTTAACTTCTTCACTAAAGTTAATCACCTACAGCTGGTTAAACCGTACCTACGATCAGTACAGTCCCTCAATAACAAAGCCATCAACGAAGCACTGAACGATCTTTTGATTGATGAAGAGGACTACCAAGGTCTCCGAATGTCTATCGATGCTTTCGATAACTTCGATACAATTGCACTTGCTCAGAATTTAGAGAAACACGAATTAATCGAATTCAGGAGGATTGCTGCTTACCTCTACAAAGGAAACAACCGGTGGAAACAGTCCGTGGAGCTTTGCAAGAAAGATAGACTTTTCAAGGTAATGATCAACATTTGCATTTTACTGGCAGTCAGTATGATTGCATGTAGATAAAAAAATCTCAAGTGTGAATTGTGAGAATAGAGAAGGCACATAACCTCATTCTTGGTCAAATCTGATAAAGCTAATTCGCAAGAATCATATATAATAAAAAAGAAAAAAAAATTTCCTCAAAGTATTCAAACTTTTGAATATGAATCCATTGTCTTTGCATACCCAAAATATTGGTGTCTCCTCAAAGTTAGCTAATTGTGAGAGAAATGGTGTTGAGGATTAGGCTGTTTCCTTATGTGGAGTACAAATTCTCTGAAAAAAGAGATTATTTTGTTTTCTGTAGTGGTAGAAGAAAAAATAAAGAAAAATCGCTTTGTCTCAAGAATGTTGCAAAGCACCTCTTGCTAAACCTCCCCTCC